AAAATTATTTTGAACTCAAAATCTTATACTCAGCCAACCTCAGAGAATTTTTAATAGTTTTTTGTTTGTTTGTTGTTGTTTTTTATTTGTTTGTTTTAAAGACAGGGTTTCATGTAGCCCAGGATAGCCTTGAACTTCTGATCTTCCTGCTTCCACCTTCCACTGGGGTACTGGGTGTACCCTGGGTTTCTATTGGTTGTGGGCAGGGTGGTTAATCAGACACACATTTCTCTACCTCTAGAATTTTAAAGTGTACTTAATAGTACCAGTGATGTCCTCAGTCATCAAATCTGTCCTTTATGTCTACAGCACCAATCTGTTCTCACTCTGTTCCTGTCCCCTCTCCTCAGATTAATCTGGGGTCTGAGTTTCCTATTGTTTATCTTCGTTCATGCATAAAAATCACTTGACTGTAAGTTGTAATGGCCGCTTTGCTCAGCACTGGCCCTGGACCTCACATCACCTACCCCTTAGATTCTTTTTGTTTGTTCTGCTGGGTTGCAGTTTGTGTTAGTCGGCTTTTCACCCCCGGGATAAATACCCGAGAGAAGTCTGCTACAAAGGAGCGGACCTTCATTTGAGTTCACAGGTTTGGAGGCTTGGGTCCATTGCTTTTGGCCTGTGGGGAGGTGGCTCATTATTGTAGGGAGTTTAAAGGGGCAGAAAGCCACTTACCTCATGGCTGGGACAAAGGAGGAAAAGACTTGGGTCCCATGACCCTCTCAGTGGCACAGTCGCCAATGATGAGAAGACTTCCCACTCTGTCCTCCTTCCTAAAACTTCCACCACAGGGGCCTCCTGGCGTTCCAGATCCTGAACAGAGTCTGAAAGCGAATTAGCATAAACCCTGGGTGGGGCATGGCACACCTGGAAGCCTGGAAGCCTGCAGTTGGGAGCCCCAGCTCAGCTCAAAAGACTGCACAAAGTGGGTCAGTGAGACAGTCAGAGCAGAGGGCTCACCTCCAAGATGAACTCTTGAGTTCGATCCTCAGAAGCCCCTGGTGGAAGGAGAGAACAGACTCCCAGGAATCGACCTCTGACTTCCATGTGTAAGCTGTGGCATGTGCACCCTCCCCCCAGTACACAAAATAAGTGAATAAAAGTTTAAGAAGAATGAAAAAGGACTAGCGAATGCTCCGAAGCTGGCCGAGTACACGGTTTTGGATTCAGACGAGTTTTTCTGAGAATCTTGAAGTTAGTGTCCTGGTCTATGCTCCTGCCGCCGCCGCGGCTTTTTCTCTCATTTTGGAAGCTTTGCTGCTTTTCTTATTGGTGGTATGGAGTTTTTTGAAAATGTATCTAGGTGTGGTCTTGTTTTCCTGTATCTTCAAATCTGGAAAGTTCTATGTTTTATTAATTTATTTTGCAGTACCAGGGATTGAGGCCAGGATTTCTCACACGCTCATCAAACACTGTGTCCCTGAACTATAGCCTAACCCCTTTTCCTGTCTATTGAATGACTGACTGTGTGAGTGTGGGCACGTGTATGTCCCGTACATGTGTAAAGGTCAGACGACAGCTTTTACGAGCTGGTTCTTAACCTCCAGCCGTGTTGAGGCAAGGTCTCTCTTGTTTCTGTCACTGTACATGGACCACCAGCTGCCTACCTGGCCTGGGAACTTCAGGCAGGTCTGCCTCCCATCTCACCACAGGATGTCACCTGGCTCTTATGTGTGCTCCGGGGACTGAGCTCAGGTTGTCAAGTTTGTGTGGCAGGTGCTTTTACCTGCTAAGCCACCCCCGCCTGAACCCGTTTTCTATGTTTTAATTATTTCCTCTATGCTGCTCTCTAGTCCTCCATCTCAGATTTTATCCCTTGGGGTTTTTACATTACATCCTGTTCTTGTTTCATGAATAGACTATGCTGGTTAATCTCTGAGGATTGTTGTTTTAATATCAGTTTGCTTTGTGCAATGTTTGCATGAGGGTTAGCCTTGTGTTTTTTGTTTTTGTTTTGTGGCAGTGTTGGTGATTGAACTTGGGGCCTCATGTATGGTAGGCAAGTGCTTATCTCTGGCATTACTTTTGTTTTGAGCTCCCTCCCTCCCTCCTTCCCCCGTAGATAAGGTCTCACTCTGTTGAAAGCCCAGGCTGGCCTTGAACTTATGGAGATCTGCCTGCCTCTGTTTCCCGAGTGCTGGGATTAAAGGTGTGCACCACCACAGCCTGGCCTTTGGGCTTTTCTTCTTGGTATTAATTTTTCTTATGTGCTTAGTGATTTGAGTTTTATATACATACGCTTCTGTTTGCAAATGCCTCTTTTCCTGATTGTCAATCCGAGTTCTAATTTCATGTGCCTGATAGTCATGGCAGTGGTAGGACCATGGAATGGGCAGGGCGTGGGCTTGTGGGAGATGGCTGAGGGCATCACCCTCTTGTACGAACTCAAAATGGTCTTACAATAAAAAACCTGCAGCCAGATATTGGGGTAAATGCTGAAAGATCAGACAGACAAAGGAACAAGCCACAGCCACCACCTCTTACCTCACCAACTCCTCAGCCTGGAAATCCCTCTAGTTCCTGTCTCCTCATCCTTATCTACCTTTCTCCGCCCAGCCATCACTTCCTGGGATTAAAGGCATGTGCACTTCCCAAGCAAAGGCATGAGATCTCAAGTGCTGGGATTGGGATTAAAGGTGTGTGCCACCACTGCCTGGTTCTGTTTCTCTCCTAGATCCAGTAAATTTCATGTAGTTCGGGGTGGCTTTGAACTCAGAGATCCATCTGCATCCCTGGCTCCTGAGTGCTAAGATTAAAGGTGTGTGCTACCTCTGCCTGGCCTGTATGTTTAATCTAGTGGCTTGTTCTGTTCTCTGATCTGCAGGCAAAGTTTATTAGGGTACACAATATATCACCACACCCACTGTTTAAAACAAATATTGGGGAGGGACAGAACCTGCTGCTAGGGGTGGGGGCCATCCTTCTTGTTCTGTTTGCAAATGCAATGCATTCTCCTCAGAACTTAGCTTCCTTCACAGACAGCACCTGCTTTCGCTTGAGCCTGCCCTTCCCTTTGGGCTTATTGGTCCACCAAACCCATCTTTCCTGAGCACTGACCCCCATAGGCTATTACGAGAAACCCACATAGTCTGCTTAAAGGGTAAAGAAATTAGGAAGGAAGGGAGTAATAGGGTCCTAGAAGGCCAAGGTACAGTCCCACACTGTACCTGAGTCTATCCCAGCATCCAAGCCCACCAGGGAGAGAAGAGAGCA